CTAACGCGCATGATGGCGTCCACCGTGGAGCGCCCTCTGCGGAAGCCGAACTGGCCGTCCGACAGGTCCGGCCCAATGTCCGTCAGGTGCGCGACGAGGCGGTTCGAAATGATTCTTTCGAAGACTTTCCCCACCTCGTCGAGCAGCACTATGGGCCGGTATGCGGACGGAGAGTCCGCAGGGCGCCCCGTCTTCCGCACGAGGACCAGTTTGCCCGCTTTCCAGAGAAGCGGGAACTGGCCTCTCTCCAAGCATGCGCTGTAGAGACCGATTAATCGAGGCCCGAGAGCCTCTGAGGCCAGGACCCATGCTTTGCCATGCAAGCCGTCGGGTCCTGGGGCGGTGTTCTTGGCGCCCATCCGGCGCACCGCCGCTCTCAGTTCTGCCTCGGTCACCTCTGGGACGATGTCGTCGTCGTCGTCGCTGTAGCCCGCGTCGGGCACCGCAGGGGGCGGAGTCATATACGGAGGGGTGAACCCCCTCCACAGTCGGGGGAACAGGGCGCTTATCACCTCCTCCAAGACCTCTGGCCGGAGACTCTGAGTGAGCGGGGGAGCCCAGGCGCGGAGCTTATCGCGCACACTATAATAACCCCTAGAAGGATACAAAACCTTTACAATGGTCGTATTGCTTGATATTGATCTTAATCAATACTTGATATTGATCTTAAACAATTCATAGGCTAGGCTAGATTATATATGTATTTTTTAAATAGGTACGATATTTTGAGACACGGGAAAGGGCGTAGTTTTTGTACCTGAAATCCTATGGAAACGGGAACTATACGTTAAAATCCCGGGGCTCTATCTTTTAACACTTGATTTGATTGAAATTCGGTACAGCGATGTTAAGGGCATGCTAATTGGATATTATGGAGTTTTCAATGGGTTTTGTAATACAGCAGCATAATAAGACATAGGCTGAAATAATAGCTGCATAAGCTGCTGATAAGTAGCTAGTAACTTTATACTTTTTAATCATGTGGGTAGGAAGCTTGAATCAGTATATAAATCAAAATGTAAATATTGTGTGTTCAGGATTTAATGTTCCAAAACTATATTGATCTCCCACATTCGATTAATGCAATAGAACATAGCAAATGACCCATATTATTACTCCGTTTATAATCTTAAATGTTAGTATTAATGTTTTTTTCTTCCGTCTGCTTAGGCGCCGAGTTGTTCGTACAAAATCGGCACGTAGTCGTCGTACTCAGCTTGGTACAAGTTGCCCGCGATGGGATCTCCCAAGTTGTACTTCTTCGCAAAGTTGGCGATCGAGAACTTTCCACGGTTGTCGCCGGATCTGAAAGTTACAGTTGTTCATTAGTTGCAAGATTACTTTTAAACAGGCTTCTCTATTAGGAATAGAATAATTATTTGCTCTGAATGCAGGTATTTACAATAAGGTGATATTAAATTAAAACACTAATAAGTTGTCCTTGTACATTCTACCATTTTTGGCATGCAAACATTGATACAGGTTCAGCTAAATAATCAGACACAGAGTAATAGCATTTGTTTAACAAGAATGTAGTAAGTATCTTTTTAAAAATTGTCATTGGTTCTTTTTTTATTGAATTAGGAACCGGTTTATGTTGTTATCCTAAGCTTTGGAGATAGCAGTTAGGTTATCGAAATATAAAGAGCCTTATTGCATGACTGGATTCAGTTGTAGAATGTCTCAAGTTCACAGAAAATGTATTTCTATTTTCTGTGCTGTCCATGACATGATCAGAGGGCTGGTTGAACTATCCGGGCAGAAACCCAGCATTGACAAACAACATGGCCTTATCTCGCCTCTGTGGCGCTGAGTTCTTACCATCAAGTGATCCATCTGCCCCAATTGTACCCTTTATCTAAAAAACCTTTATTATGAATAAAGTAACTCATTTCACTAAAAATCGCGGGTTACTCACGTGAATATACTGAGAAAAGCTCTACTAGTTTCGAACCACATAGGGGTTCTTCCTCATGAGCAGCGTGCGCGATCGCGGCGATGTCGCGCAGCCTACTGTTTTTAGTTTTCTACCCGCGATTTTTAGTTAATTTAGTATGTCTCACGATAGTTATTATAAAAAAGTAACTCACTTGTTAGTAAGCCTAGGCTCGTCGAATTCCAGTTTGCCAGGCTGTTTGTACACGAGGAAGACGTATCTGTGGAGGCCTGTGCCTTTTGGGGGCCCGGAGCCGACGTATTGCGACAGGGTCTCGCCAGCAGCTACGTTGTTACCGGGAACATTGCCTACCAGCCAGTGGTGCCATTCACGGAATTTGGGGTCTTGGCGGGAAGGCGCATCAGGGTCTGAAAATGATAAGATAAAGTGTATAGGATAAACTCAAAGTCAAAGTCAAAATCATTTATTTCAATTAGACCAGGAAGGCACTTTTGAACGTCGGCAATAGAAATTAAAAAATGAAGCTATTTGCTCGTTCCAAAGTGTAGATTCCTATGGAGAAGAACGAGCAAGAAACTCCATAGGTTACTCTTTTCCAATCAGGTTTAAAAGAAGAAAAAACAAATAAATATTCGAAGCTAATTGTACCTAACTTCCCTAATAAGTTAAGAAAACGGGCGTTACTGAGAGCAAATTAATAAAATAATAACGTCTACAATATGATTTATTATAATATGCTCATTAATTTTAAATTAATCATTTAATTGGTCACATTACGATTAATTAATAAAGGCTGATTGATTTCTGTTCTTGAGCATGACTGTTCGGCGTTCGCGTTCATGACATTAAAGTGCGTAGGGTAACAGCAGTGTTACTGATGCTAATTTCAAGCACAAAAGCTTCAATTAGGCACTCGTCACTTAGTAGCATGTGAGTCGGAATGTTGCTCAAAATTAGCAGGCTCATTTTTTTTATGGCATAAGTCGATAAACGAGCCGACGTATCACCTGATGGTAAGCAATCGGCGTCGTCCATGGACACCTGGAACACCAGAGGCGTTACAAGTGCGTTTTGGGGATTAGGAGTTTGAGGATCGTTGGGGATTCAGGAATTGGGGGGCGATTGGGGAAGGGGAGGGTAATTGGGCCTCCGGTAACCTCACTCACACGACGCAAGTGTGTGAGGCCGTGGTATCACTCCGGTCGAGCCGGCCCATTCGTGCAGAAGCATGGCTCTCCCACACTTGAATTGATTGTTGACCATGCTCGATAGAACACCTTTTAGAATACTATTTTGGAGCGTGTGCAATTACAGGACCAGTCATCTATCGTTCGCTACAGCACAACGCGTGAAGTGAATCGAAATGTAATTTATAAACATTTTTTTCTAATCATAATCAAGAGAAAAATGTATAAATATTGTGCCAAAATATAGCACCGTCGCTAAATTGTTTTAAATTTCTCTTCACACACCGTTACCGTTAATAGAGAAATATGATTTCATTTAATAAAATTTTGTGTAAAAATGATAACAATAACTTATTATTAAATAATCTGCAGAACGAACCAAGGCCAGAAATGTGAATGGTGAAGGTAAATACGCCCATAATGTATTTTTTTTTCTCATTATTTCTCACACAAATACCTTTCTAATTTTTCGACAAGATTATAACTAAATCGGGACGGGCAAAGTATTACTGTTTTTTTTAAATCTCAGTAGTAGCACGGAGTCCGGAAATGTGCCCGGTGTATGGCAATGGGCTCACCCCCTATTACATGGGACTTATAACATAAATAGTGAATAGTGGGTGTTATATTGTACAGTAGCATTAAGTGCCGTAATGTTCACCTCTGCCTACCCCTTTGGGGATAAAAGGCGTGATGTTATGTTATGATAAATTATAACTAAATTATGGCAATAGGCGTGGATGCCCGGAAGTTTAAGACGCCCGCTTCTCACATATGAAGGCGCCTACCAAATGCAAATATCGTCTTATTCACAGAACATATAAAGAAGTGTTCTGTGGTCTTATTCATGTAATATATAATGTAATTTCTAAAATTATTTAGACACCAATGACAAATGGTGAAGGAAAACATCGTGAGGAAACCTGGGCTTACAATTTCTAATTATAAGCCTAAAATCGCCAACCCGCATTGAGTAAGCGTGGTGATTATTAGGTACTCAAACCTTCTTCATGTGAGAAGACGCCTTTGCTCATTAATTTGCCCTTATAGGCTGTCGATGATGATGATAGCAATAATTTTAAAATGAAATAATGAGAAAGAAAGTACACGATGCGCATACTCACCCCCACCATGAAAATTCTGGGATTCGTGTCGATAGTTAAACTGAAGTTTATTTATATTGCGAGGAAATTGGTAGGTCTAGGTAGGTAATATTGGTTTCGGTCAAAATTAAAACGTAGATTTTAGCATAACATAACATTATGCCACTGTACAAT